GGGTTTTTTTCGGAGACAATTTGGGGGGAAATTGATTGTGGGAAGAAGAGCCAATTCGTTTTGTGCCTGTTCAACTTCGGGCCATTTCATTTGTTTTCCCTCCATTTCCACATGTGTCGACACGTGGATTTTTTATTGTTTTTTCGTTTAAGTTTGTTGGTCTACGTGTCAAAACCCACACCAGCGTGTAAAAACCGGCTCCACGTAAGGCGAGTTGCCCGATAATTTCCATCACGTGCATGTCACGTGCGTGTTTCCGGGCAATTAACGAGTTTCCGGCGAGTCGGGGACGAATCTGCAACCTTTTTTCGAAGTTAGATGACGAAACTCAAAGTGGCTATTCGAAGAGGACTAAATTGTTCAGAGGGGTATACTTAGAGGACGAAAAATGCACTTTTCTCATAAAAATACATAAAGAATAAATAAAATCAGGAATACAAATAAATATCTTTTGCAAACAAAACGAAGAGAAGACGAAGAAGAGAAGAAAATGAAACCCACCCTCAACAAAGCCCCCTCCTCCATCGAAGAAAAAATCATATGAAACACTAATTCTATACCCACACACTGCACAAACCTAACAATCAAACACACCTCGTTTCAGTGAAATTCTCTTGAGTCTAGGCACATAGATATATTGGTTGGGTCAGGTCCAAGATTTCCTGATTCCAAGTCGCTGGAATTTGGTACGAACATGTACAGAGATCGAGTCGGAGGGGGCTCAGCAAAGGGCGGCGGGGAGATGTTGGATCGGATGCGAATCAATGATAAACACCTCGAGAAATCGGTTCCGTCGGATTCCAGGAACAAGGGTTCCGCCGTCGCCTTTCCGTCCACGTCAGCCTCTTCCGGGAAGCATGTTGATCCCCGGGACAATCGCTCTAGCAAGAACAAGCTCTCTGAGGGTACTATTATGCTTTTTTTGGATTTTCCACAAGTTTGGTTAGCTTGATTTCATATGTTGTGCTGTGATGATTTCGATTGATTGTTGTGTTGTCATTATTATTATTATTATTATTATTTTTTTTTGTTAGAACTTTGTCATGGATGACTTAACCATATTTTGTTTTAGCTATTTCTGCTACAATCATAGAACCTTGTGAAGATTTAGGGTATCTATGTTTGTGTTTTGTAATGAGCATGGATTGTGTGTGCGCATCTCTTTTGTGAAAATTCTATATTCTATGATCGAAACAGGATTATGGGGCTATGGAGTATTGGGGTTGTTTTGGATTGTGATTATGTATCCCCGTTGCAGCTTTTCAGGAACTTGTGGGATATTAGAGCTTCCAAATGGCAACAAGTCATATAGATGGCAGAATATCTCATTCTTAAACCCGACCTATCTCTGTGTCCAATTGCATGATTTAAGAACTTCTAGCTAGTAATGCATTAGCGACTCTTTTCATGTATCTGGAATGGGAGTTGTCATGGATTTTTTATGCTAAATAAAAATTAATTCACATTCAGTAGTCACTTTTGTTTTATGCATGATTGCTAAGGTTCGAAAGCCAAGTTTTAAGCTAGAGGCAGGGAAATGGTGACCTTCTCTAGTTTAGGCATGTGAGTTTAATTTTCTGTTATGACAGTCTTATGCTTAAATAACAAGGTATGAGGCATTTGAAGTGCAAGGGATGTTAAGTTTTGTGCTCTATTCATGCTTTAAATGAATGGAAGTATCCATGTCAGTATCTCAACCAGTGATGAGGTCTATTTGCCAGTTGCCACACCCATAATGGGTTTTAGTTAAAAAATCAAATTCTGTTTACAGTTGATGTAAATGTTACGCTGAAATTAAAATTTGCTTGTTGTGCATCAAAAGTAACTTGTTTACTGTTCTCATAATTATAAATCATATATCACGATTCATATTCTATAATTTTATAAGTACTACTAGCTAAGGGTAACTTAGTCAAGACCTTTATAGTCCACATAGTTAGTTATCCATCGTAGTAACAATTTGATGAGAATTATATCTTTATAGAATCTTTTATAGCTCATTTATAGTATGTAATGTATATGAGCAGGTCCCTTTTTTTGGGGATATGTTCTGTGGCATATGTTCTTTGATTCAACGGAAGCGTATGATTGCATTGTATTTCCCGTTTTGCAGAGGAATCTGAAACAGATAGTGAAGATTCAGATGTCAGTGGCTCTGATGGAGATGACACATCTTGGGTTTCATGGTTTTGCAACTTGCGCGGGAATGAGTTCTTTTGTGAAGTTGATGATGAGTATATTCAAGATGATTTCAATCTATGTGGTTTGAGCAGTCAGGTGCCGTATTATGATTATGCGCTTGACCTAATTCTGGATGTAGAGTCGTCTCATGGTGAGCATTATGTCAGTTTGAAGTAGCTTAAGAATGCTTATTTATTATTATTATTATTTTATAAATACTTCTGGTGAGTAGTTGCTTACTTTCTTAACAAAGTTTCAGCATTTACAGGACACGCTGCTTGTCCAGAATTTTTCAAGCTGCTTCATTGGAATAATTACATGATGTCTGGAAATTTGTATGCTTTCTAAACACAGCAACTTGGTGTTAACTTTTATTCCATGCTGGGTTTTATTCAGGTGACATGTTCACCGAGGAACAAAATGAATTGGTTGAATCAGCTGCAGAAATGCTGTATGGCCTTATTCATGTCCGGTACATTTTGACGAGCAAGGGAATGGCAGCAATGGTAACTCCATTAGCAAGATTCACCCTCTGATTTCTGTAATTTTTTTTTTTTTTTTTTTTTTTTTTTTTTTTATCCTTTTTGTTGACATCTTGTGCTGGAACCTGTACCAGTTAGAGAAGTACAAAAACTACGACTTTGGAAGATGCCCTAGAGTTTACTGCTGTGGACAGCCTTGCCTTCCAGTTGGCCAATCAGACATACCGCGCTCAAGTACTGTGAAGATTTACTGTCCCAAATGTGAAGATATTTACTATCCCCGATCCAAGTACCAAGGCAGTATCCTTCCTTTGCATTTTGTCGGTTATTTTTTTATTGCTTTCATAGTTGAGTTGGGTTCTTCTCTTTCATCCTGTTAGGTTTCTCCCAGATGATGCTATGGAATATGGTTGTCTCAGTTTCTTTTTTTCGCCATGAATATGCATATAGTTTCTGATGTAGGGAAAGCGTACGAATGGGAAGGATAAAACGAGATACTCTCTCGAACTTGGGATACTCTCCCGAAAGAACACGATTAATTTTTCATTCTCAAAATCCCACTGCTTAACACAAAAGATGAGAGTCCTTTAAATAAACCTGTAACCCTCAACTCAGCTTATTCCCTAAGCTACTACTAATTATTAAATAATAATAATAATAATAATAATAATAATAATAATTATTATAATACTTATATTTCTTTTGCATCAGTTTCTAAGGAAACAAATTTCTAGTTGATTTTTTTTGTGATGCTTTTAGGAAATGCTATAGTTATCTGATACAATATTCTTTGACTTGCAAAGATATCGACGGAGCATATTTTGGGACCACATTCCCACACCTGTTCTTGATGACTTACGGACACCTCAAGCCTCAGAAGCCAGTACAGAGTTATGTCCCAAGGGTGTTTGGCTTCAGGATGCACAAGCCTTGATTGCCCGTTATTCTTTTTCTGCCAGTGGACGATTTTTATCTGGCCTGCTGTGATGTGCAAATGGGTTTGCAAACGGTATAGGTTAAAATACCCAGATGTGTACTGAAAGTGCTTATAAACGGGATAGGTTTGCAAACGGGAAGCATTTCTAGTTTACGTTGGTTGTGCAAATTGATGGTTAAATTCAGAGATGATGTGAAAGTTTATTTTCCTTTTCCTATTCAGGTTGAGAATTGTTGCCAAGTATTCTATTATGCTGTCCATTTGTGCAGTATGGTTGATTATCAGTACCACGTTTTTATATGAGGAATTTTTAGTTGACTATCTGCATTGTATTTTTTGCTTAGGGTTAATTGTTGATGCCTCCTCGTTCAAGAGTAGTGATGGTTGCACAAGTTTTTTACTGTGGTAAGGTTTAATCTGATTGCTCTTTTTTTTTTTTTTTCAATTAATAATTGTTTCATGTCATTGAACAAATTTAGTATTTGCAAAGTAAGTAAAAGTAGATTGAAAGTGAGATTACAAGATCATTAATTGGTGTAAGGTAGTAAATTTGACCTTTGCCTTATCTTTTGTTTGCTCTGTATGTACGCGATTAGATTAGACGCGTGGTGGAAGGAAAATGTGAAGTTAAAGTGCCATTGGAAATAAATAAATAAATAATTATTCCCATTGCTGCTTATTTAATTTTAAACGGAGGTTTTTGGAAATAAAATATTGTAATAATTGATTGATTTAATTTCATAATTAACCTAGCTATTAGGAGGTTTGGTTTCTCTCTCCACGATGCTGATGCTCTATTCTACTACTAGTATATGATCTCTCTTGAAAATATAATAATAATAATAATAATAATCTTGGTTTATTTCATATTCATGTAACTCTAAAATTACCTAAGGCCTGGCTGGTTACTCGGGAAATGACGCCGAAGTTTCATAATAAACGCTTCAGGTCAGGTCAGGTCAAAAGAAGCCACACCCACACACTACTTTTTAGCTTCCTCATGCTTTTCATGATATCTTCCTACTTGGTAGTATAATGGTAGGGACCCTAACAAATATTAGACAATAAATAACAACAATTAAAGGAATTTTGTGGTATCCCTCAAAACATCTTCTTGTCTTGTGATTTTTTAATTTTTACATTCTAACTTTTACACGTTTAGGTCAAGCATGAATATTAATTTTTCTACAACAATTCTTTTTTCTATTTATTATATCATAAGTTAATAATTGATTCATGTTCACAAGTAGCAATGGCATAGGGAGGGGCCTTCGTCTAATCCCCCCTTTTCTTTTTTTCTTGTTGATTTTATAGATGAAGAAAGGAAACTCTCATCTGGCTTTTAACTTTTGACTATATATATACTCAAATAAAAAAAAATATATATATATATATATATATATGTTTTGAATTAACTTTAACATTTGAAAATGTTTATTCTATGATTGATATTAAATTATCATATTTTATTACCGTTTGTGTATTCATATTATTTTGTGTATATTTGTGTATCTTTTAGGTGCTATATTTAGGGGTAATTTATCAATTACCATACTTATGATCTTGTAACCTATTCTAGGGGTTTATATATATTTGGTCTTTGAGCCATCACGAATCATCTGATTGAGATGATCGTTACCACAATATTCTATCCATCTCTCTCGTATCATGGTATCACAGCCAGAATTTTTTTTTTCCCAATCGTAAAATTTATGTTCCGATTTAGATTGCTAAAAAAAGAAAGGAAAAGAAAAACCGTGGCAGCAGCATCTGTTCGAGATTGCAATTGGTGATATTGCATCAATATTTGAAGCACTAATTTCAGCCCACGTGAAATTGCAAGGTTGCAATTGGTGAAATTGCATCAATATATGTATTCAAATTGATCACAATTTGTTTTTTATTCAAGGCAGCCATAATTATTCGTTGAATCTGCTTAATCAACTGCTCGCGTGCTCATGATCTAGCTCGGTCCTCGTCGACAACAACCTTTGATTCTAGAACCGATTGATTACATTTAAAAAAAAAGGCCTGCAGCGCGATTTTGTTATCCTGCAGCCCGGCTCCGTAATTGTTTTCCAGTTGGATTATTCTCTCCTTCAGTCCTCGTCATAGATGATCCATGGCAGATTCTTCGACATCGATCGTGTCAGGCGTGGCCCAAGGTAGCGCCGAACTTGTCGGACACCGTGTTGGTGGTCGTTGAAAGTGTTCTCATTGTGGCCGAATGGGCCATCTTGCCGCTATTTTCTTTGATATTATTGGATATCCAGAATGGTTCGGTTCCAGTGGTGGCTGCGGTTGTAATTCTGGTGGTGGCCTCCGTAGTGGAGCTCGCGGCGAGAGTGGTGCTCGTACGAATGCGGCGTTCTCTAGTGGTATTTGTGATCCTTTTGTTGCCAGTTCGGTTAGTTCTTCTACTGCTCGTGGAGTTTTGAGTGATTCCGATCGTCTTGCACTTGGCGATTTAACCAATGAACAATGGTCTCACTTTGTGTCTTTGGTAAATTCCACTAAACAAAATAATCCCTCGTCTGGTAAACGTCGTTTATTTGATTGGATGTACGACTGTGGGGCAACTCATCATATGACAGGCTTCTTGGGGTTTCTTTCTGATGTTCGGGATATTCCAGCCTGTCCTGTTCAATTGCTTAATGGTTCCTTGACTATGGCTAGCAAGGTTGGGACTGTTTATTTGGGATCTCATATCACTCTTTATGATGTCTTATATGTTCCCAGCCTTCAGTGCAACTTGATTTCATTATATCAATTGTTGGATCGTTCCGACTGCACCGTTCAGTTTACTAACAAATTTTGTGTTATTCAAGACCGCATTCCGCGAAAGGTAATTGGTGCGGGTGAGCAGTTGGGGGGTCTCTACTTCTTTCGAGGGACGGTTTCTACGACAGTTTCTTGTGTTCGTAAGGTTTTCTGCCGATGTGTGGCATCAACGTTTGGGTCATCCGTCCTCTCAAGTATTGTCTCAGGTTCCTGTTATTGATTCTAGTTCTCGTATTTTGCATAAATTGTGTGATGCTTGTTTTCGTGCTAAACAACATCGTCGTAGTTTTCCTCTCAGTCAGACTATTAGTCATGAGACTTTTCATTTGATTCATTGTGATTTGTGGGGTCCGTATCGTGTTCCGTCCTTCTGTGGTGCACGATATTTTTTTGACTATTGTGGATGATTGTTCTCGTGGCACATGGGTTTATTTATTGAATGATAAGACGGAGGTTGCTTCCACATTGCTGAATTTTTTTTCTATGATTAAGCGACAATTTGATAAATTGGTGCGTGTTGTTCGTAGTGATAATGGAAGCGAGTTCATGTGTTTGGCCTCTTATTTTCGTCGTCAAGGGATTTTGCATGAGACTTCTTGCGTAGGCACCCCTCAGCAGAATGGGCGAGTGGAACGCAAACATCAGCATATTCTCAATGTAGCTCGTGCTTTACGTTTCCAGGCTCATATGCCTCTTCCTTTTTGGGGGCATTGTGTTTTGACTGCGGTCTATCTGATAAATCGGACTCCTTCATCGGTTTTACAGGGTAAAACCCCATATGAGATTCTTTATGGTTCGGCTCCTTACTTGTCTCATTTGCGGGTTTTTGGTTGCTTTTGTTATGCTCATAACCAAGATCGTAATGGTGACAAGTTTGCTGCTCGGAGTCGTCGTTGTCTATTTGTCGGTTACCCTTTTGGAAAAAAAGGGTGTAGTTTGTATGATTTGGATCGTCAGATTTTTTTTGTCTCTCGGGATGTGGAGTTTCTTGAGACTGAATTCCCATATCAGTCAGACTCGTCTGAGCCAGATTCTTTGCCACCGCCTCCTGTTGTGCCGGTTTTTTCTGTGTCGGACGATGATGAGGATATTCCGGTTGTCTCTTTGCCTCATGTTTCTCCAGATACTAGGTCTTCTGCTACTGATATGGACACATCTGACGATAGGGGGGGTTCCTTTAACACTACCCCTCCCACTATTCCAGTGGAGCCCATTGGGTCGTGGTCATCGGACTAAGGTTCCTTCCACTCGGCTGAAGGATTTTGTGGTTGAATGTCCGGCCTTCGACTGTACACCTCACTACTTCTCCCCAGACGTCTCCATCCTCCGGTACGCCATATCCCATAGCACATTATGTTTCTTGTGATTCATTCTCTCCAGCTCATCGAGTTTTTTTGGCTGTTGTCACCTCCGCTGCTGAGCCTCGCACTTTTGTTGATGCCGTGGCTGATCCTCGATGGCGAGCCGCTATGCAAGATGAGATTCATGCCTTGGAGAATAATGGCACGTGGGATGTTGTTTCTCTTCCAAATAGGAAGCGTGCGATCAGGTGCAAATGGGTCTTTAAGATCAAGCATAAGTCTTACGGTTCCGTTGAGCGCTATAAAGCGTGTCTGGTGATTTTGGGCAATAATCAGGTGGAAGGTCTTGACTATCATGAGACGGTTGTTCCCGTTGCCAAAATGGTTACAGTCCGGTTATTCTTGGCTGTGGCTGCTGCTAAGCATTGGGAAGTTCACCAGATGGATGTTTACAATGCTTTTCTTCATGGTGATTTGGCTGAGGAGGTTTACATGAAGTTTCCCCCTGGTTTTCGCTCTGGCGTTGATGGGCAGGTTTGCCGTCTTCGTCGTTCCCTCTATGGTTTGAAGCAGGCTCCCCGCTGCTGGTTTGCCAAGTTGGCTACGGCTTTGAAGCTGTATGGTTTTTGCCAGTCCTATCACGATTACTCTCTCTTTACATTGCATCGTGGTTTTGTCCATCTGCAGGTCCTGGTCTATGTTGATGATCTGATTGTTTTCGCGAATGATACCACATCCATTATGGCCTTCAAGAGTTACTTGAGTCGTTGTTTTCACATGAAGGATATTGGGTTACTTAAGTATTTTTTGGGTATCGGGGTTGCCCGGAATTCTTCTGCCTTCTTTCTCTGTCAGCAGAAGTATGCTCTTGACATCATAGCTGAGGTCGGACTACTAGGGAGCAAACCAGCTGATTTTCCCATGGAGCAGAATCACCAACTTCCATTAGCCGAGGGTCCCTTATTCTCTGATCCTGAGAAGTATCGGCGTTTAGTAGGACGTTTGATCTATTTGGTCGTTACTCGTCCTGACTTATCTTATGTTGTGCACATGCTCTCACAGTTTATGCATCAGCCTCGTCAGACACACTGGGACGCTGCACTTCGTGTGGTTCGATATTTAAGGGTACTCCGGGCCAAGGTATTCTTCTTCGGTCTGATTGTGATTTGCAGGTTTATGGTTGGTGTTACTCCGATTGGGAGACATGCCCTACTACCCGCCGGTCTCTCACGGTTGGTTTGTACAACTTGGTCATTCTCCGATATCATGGCGTTCTAAGAAGCAACACACGGTTGCTCGTTCTTCAGCCGAGGCTGAGTATCGTGTTATGGCGACGTTTACTTGTGAATTGAAGTGGTTACGAGGTTTACTACGTAGTCCTGGTGTGGCTCATCATCAGCCGATGCGGATTCATTGCGACAGTCGGACGACTCTTCACATTGCCGCTAATCCTGTCTTCCATGAGCGCACCAAGCACATTGAGGTTGACTGTCACTTTCTCCGTGACGCTCTCGTTCAAGGCATCATTTCTGCTACTCATGTTTCTACTCATTCCCAGTTTGGCAAACATTTTCACTAAGGCCTTGGGCAAACGCGAGTTTGATTTCTTCCTTGGCAAAAACTTGTTTGGTAAAAAGTTTATTTGAATTCAAAATGCTAAATTGCTAATTATAAAAAAAAAAAAAAAGTTGAATAGAACCATGTTTTTTGTTTATTTAAATGAATACTAAAAAAAGAAAAGAAAAAAGAAATATAAACTACCCAAACCAATTATAAAAAATATTATATACCAAATACTCATTTATGAACCATATTACAATTTGTTATTAATGTTATTAACTATCTCTAGATCTAATATATACTTGTTTTCAACAAAAAACCAACTAACAAGTACTATAAGGACTATATAGACTAAGTGATTTTTTTTTTAATTTATAGCTGGTGACTTTTAAGTGAGAAACTAACTTATACGATAAAAAGTGTCTAATAAATTAGCTGATAAGCTAGCTGAAATAAAGATTTCACGAACTTATTTGAAAAGATAATCAAATAAACAAACTTATGAGATAAGCTCAAGCTTTTTAAATATAAAAGACTTATAAAATACTACAAGTTAATTTATTTGATTAATGTGGTCACATTAGTTGACTTTGACTGAAGGCTTGTTCATAAAAACAATGGTTAGAAACTTAGGAGTCACAACTACTTCCTTGCAACGCATTCTTTGTGAAACTCATCACAATTGATAGGGTCAACGATACACATAACAGCATTAAATGCGTATGATTTAGTTTGATGGGTGAAAATTCAAAATATTGGAACTTTGTGCTCATTCAACTTTTCCTAATTTTATTTTAGAAAACATAATTCTTTGATATTTGCATTTTGAGAACCAATCCTATTTTCCTGATAAAATAAAATTGCTGTTCGAAAAAAAAAGTTATCTCCCCTGTTTTTTTTGGGTTTATCTAAAGTAAGGATATCGAGAAAGCGATGTGGCCAATTAATCGGAAGCGAAAGCCGAGAAAAAATGGAGGACATTATTTAAAAAGGGATTAAAATTGGGGCACCAAAGTAATAAATGCGAAAAAATGAGGCCAAAGTGCAAAACAACAATGAGCCATTTATATAATAAATAAATAAAATAAATAATGAATGGAAAAAGCTTATGGGCCATTTTTCAGTCTTTTTTTTTTTTTTATTGTTTTGCGGCGACTCGCCTTTTGTTTTGAAATTGATCTTCCATTTTCATCACCACCATTAGCTCTCATCGGACTCTGCGTTCTTATTCGCCTTCTTCCTTCTTAACCAGTTTCCATTTCCAGACATATATATGTCATAAATCTTGCAAAGAATAACCATCTTTGTTATTGCCAAAAAAAAATAAAAAAACAACTTTTTTTTCTTCTTTCTGTCCTTCTAGAAATCGGGTGAAAGAGATAAGATTATATTGCATAATTTGAAAACGACGGAGATAATTGAGAAGTGAAAGACCCTTTTTTCTCTTTATTTTCGTTGTTTACCCCAAATAATTTCCCGTTCATCCTGCAATCGAGGTGCCTGATAGTTTCTTTTAGGTTTTTTCGCGTATGTAATGCATCAGAAAAAATCTGAAGTACAGATCGGAAAAGAAAGCAGCGGCGTCTCTTCCGATTTCAACCCGACCCCACCTCTCCCGCCGTCTTCCCTCACCCAGAAACACTCCCACCTTTCTCAAAATTCCCATCCTTGTCCCCACCACCCTCCTCCTTCCTCCGGCGTCGTTTCCACCCTTCAGATCCTCATCAACGACGACAACCACCAGCAGCTGGACCAGAATGACCATTTTGTCCTCAAGCCCACCCCTTTCAAGCGACCCCATCTCCAGCAGCAATTCTCCAGTTCCCTAGCCAAGACGCCGACTTTATCCAATGCCCTCCATAGATACAGCGGCGTTCCCTCACCGAACCCACCTCCAAAATTCAATATTTTCTACAATCGGTCTCGAAAATTTCTGACCCATTTCAACCACCACCTCCGCCACCGGTTTCGGGTCCACCTCCGCCTCATCCTTCTACTCAGCCTTCCATTCTTCTACTTTCTGGTTTCTCAACCTTCCAGCTCCTTCGTACTCGACTTACTGTCTGCTTTTGCCTTCTCGGCCGTGCTTTTGTTCTCCTTAAACTTGGCCATTCCACGGCTGCCCTCTATAAGGTTGTTCCTTTCCAGGTCATTGCCGATCAAGATTAGTGCAAAGGGTCACACTACCGGGCCACACTTGCCGGTGTTTTGGTCTATCGGGTCCCGGCAAAAGGCGGATAAGAAAGCAATCTCGGGATGTTATGTGCAGGCATATAGTAATGGGGATGTGTACGAGGGTGAGTTTCATAAGGGGAAATGTAATGGGAGTGGTGTGTATTACTATTATATGAGTGGTAGGTTTGAAGGGGATTGGGTAGACGGCAGGTATGATGGCTATGGGGTTGAGACGTGGGCAAGGGGTAGCAGATACAGAGGGCAGTATAGGCAGGGTCTTAGGCACGGTTTTGGGGTGTATCGGTTTTATACGGGGGATGTTTATGCTGGGGAATGGTCTAGTGGACAGAGCCATGGTTGTGGGATCCACACTTGTGAGGATGGTAGTCGATATGTGGGAGAGTTTAAGTGGGGTGTTAAACATGGTCTTGGGCGCTACCACTTTAGGTAATAGCGATGTTGCTTTTCTTTGTATAGTTTGCCACATTCAATATTTGTTGCAGTTCAAGATATATTTTGAATAGTTGTTTAGCTAGCAAGTTTGGAAATGTCGATATGAAAGAGTAAACTCTTTTGTCGAGTGCATTTGAGTTCATGTATTTGGTGGCACAAACTTATCTAACCATGATACATAGGAAGAAATGTGCATCTTTGTTTCCCCATCATTTAGGGAGTGTTTCAAGGATCTGTTGGACATACTAACGTTGATTAATTGACAATATCCATTTGTCTGTGTTCTGTCTTCTCGAGATAACTTGCCTCGCTTGTGCGCTCGGCAGAGCTTAATTGCTTTTGTGAGAATGCATGTTGATGTGAAATTTTCTTGCTTTACCTTTCCTAATATGCTATGATGCTTAAGTTAGGTGTGTAGAAGTCAAAATGTGTGGTACTGACCTCGGTTTCAATATACAGTTTGTTGCATGTATGGTATGAGGTTGAGTGTTCCGTAGCTGAAAACTTCATCGAAAAATCATGACATGAGTTGCCTAATTATCGATCAGTTAAAGTTTATTTATGATTAATGCATAGAGTTATTCTAAAATATTTTGATTGTGTTTATGACTTTGTAATTGCGGCCTACAGGAATGGGGATAGATATGCTGGAGAATATTTTGCTGATAAGATGCATGGATTTGGAGTGTACTATTTTGCAAATGGGCATCGTTACGAGGGGGCTTGGCATGAAGGTAGAAGACAGGGGCTTGGTATGTACACTTTCAGAAATGGTGAAACTCAGTCTGGTCATTGGCAAAACGGAATTCTGGATGTTCCGAGCACGCAAAGCACTGTCTTTCCTGTTTCTCCTGTTGCTGTGAACCACTCCAAAGTGCTTAATGCTGTCCAGGTATTTCCACGTTTTTTTTTTTGTCTGAATTAGCAAAAAAAATGTTTTGTCGATAAATTTAATGTGTGCAACTGCTAGTATTTCAGTTTACCCCATGAATTTGCAGAAAGTTTATGGCTTGGTTCGTTGAGAAAAAGTTAAACATATTATTGGAGGATGACCTTTGTACAAAAGTCTTCTGAAGCAATTAATTTATATCCTTTTATCAGGAAGCTCGACTGGCGGCAGAGAAAGCATACGAGGTGGCAAAGGTGGACGAGAGAGTCAACAGAGCAGTTGCAGCAGCCAACCGAGCCGCTACTGCTGCTAGAGTTGCGGCTGTGAAGGCCGTGCAGAAGCAAATGCATCATAGGAGCAATAGTGACGAGATCCCAATTCCTATTGTGCGATGAAGCTTGCAAATATAAATATCAAAACTCAAAAGGGCCTTTTAGCAGAAAAATAGATAGCACCTTCAATGTTGAGACTTGCCATTTAGGCGTAGTGTGGTTTTCTGCGGAAGCTGAATTTTCGTGCAGCCATGCTAGAACCTCTTGCTATCCTCTATGTTCATATCCCCTTCTTTTTTTTTTTCCTTCTTTTTTGTTGTGTATAAATTTTGAAATAGGTATATGAATTAGTGCTGGTAGCCAGGGAACCCCCAACCCTATCCAGCCCCCATTGTATGTTAAGAAATGATGATGGTGACTTGTGAGAAAATTGAGATTAAGTAATGTTATCTCGTCCCAGTTGTATCTTAAGTTGTATCAATCAATGTTGTACTGTTTTCTGAGTATAATTATAGTTATTTTTGCAATATATTTCAAAATTGTTCAAGTGGCAGATGCGACCACATATATTAGCCCACACTGAATTGAGTGAATAATACGTTGTGATATTTTAAGTAAGTGAATATCGACTTTGCTCCACAATCAAGATAGAAACACATCATGTAACAAGGTTTCCTAGCAGTTCCATCTAATAAATAACTGAATATTTTTGCAAATACTTTGATTTTGGCAGTTGAACCATACTATATAGAACTTTGAAGAGCTTGGCCAAGCAGTAATACAAATTAGTGTTAACAGACGGCACTTGTTATTTAAATGGTTGGCCTATAAGATGCACAACAGTTTGCCAGTCATCTGGTACTTCAAAGCTCAAAAAGTAAAACTTTTCCCTTCCCTCTTCCCCTGTGCTTCCCTTCAAAATTTGCTTTCAAAAAAAAAAAAAAAAAAAAAAAA